CACGCCCACGCCCGCAGCGCCCGCGCCCGCGCCCGCGCTCTACTCGCTCACTCGCCCGCCCACCTGGCTCTAGCTCCTAACATAGCCTCACTACAAATATAAAAAACCTCGCCGTATTACCGAAAATTCTAGAACTAATTTCATTGCGAACCAAAGACACTAAAGACATATGCAGACTAGACATAGACAACATTTTTTTATCTGTAACTTTGTACGGTAATATCTTAAAGTCAAATTTGACATGCTAAGACGCTTTGCCTTGAATTATTTGTTTGTTGTGATTTTTACTAAGGGATACTTGTTAGTGGGATTAAATGAAAAGTGTGTCTAGATGTCTACTCTATATATATCTTTAATCTCTTTGTTGCGAACAAAAGTGGTGTAATAATGACACCGATTGAAGTGCCCAGGCTAGGGTTTTTATGTTCTTAGTTAGGCTATACTTATAAGATTTTAAACCTTTTCTGTATGGCCCACCAGCCGGATAATGGGAACCAGATTTTTAATAATTAAATGTAAGATCTAGAGTTACATCAGATACGTTTTGATGATCAATATTTTTAGATTGGTATAATGCAACAAAATTTTGTGTATAAGTTGGCAATAGTGGCACAAGAAATAGACATGTTCATATCTCTCTCTCTTTCTCTAGTGGAAGCTAAGAAAAATACACAGATCGTTCATATCACTTTTAATCAATGTGCAAAAAAATATTTTAACTGATAAAAATATTTGTAGAGAATTACATAGTGGCGTTTTAGGATTCCATAAAGAGTTAAAAGACACGATTATAATTGTAGGTTATGAACATATTAAAGTAGTAAAAAATAATCTTAAAATATCTGAATCTGAATTAAATCTTATTGAACCACCGATTGAAATATTGTCAAATTCACATAACTCATAGTTGTAGTTCAAAGTTTCACAAGCCCTAATATTTATTAATTAACCTAGAAAAGTCTCTCATCAATCATAAACCAAACTGCCTTATTTGAAATTTAGTACGAAACAAGTATACTATGTTTTAAATGTAAAAAATATAACGAAAACAAAGCAATACTGTATACAACCTTCATTTGCATGTAATAAAAACGTCTCATTTCAATAACGTATTTTAAAAACAAAATATTGAATGGTAAAATGCGAAGTTATAAACGAAGATGTATTGTTTAAAATATTTAAAGTTATAATATATTTATTAGACGCCTTTTGTATTTTAATGAATAATTTAGAGATGTTTCTCACGTGCATAATGTTTGATGTAAGATTGTAACACAATCTAAGTCCAGTGCTTTGAGGTTTTAGATTTTTTATTATGATACTTGTAGCTTTGTTTATTCTATTTATGACAAATGCTTACGCTTTTCTAAATATGTTAAGATACGAAATGTGCAACGAGGCGACACAATGTCATTCCATTGGTGTTCTAATGTGATTTTTAACGATAAAGTGATTGTAATGAACGTTACCGTGAATTTCCGCTGTCGAAACTTTCAAAGCCTACCAGAAATATGAACATCCTAGTATATAGTGGAAAAATAAATTATTTCTTTGCACACAAAAATTTGACTGAAGCCAGGTGAAGATATTCCTGGTTAGGCTATATATTAGCTTTTTTTCAGATTGATGATATATGAATCTTTCCGCAGTGGATTACAATGGTTGGCATGAAAATTAACTATGTATTGAGCCAAAATAGATTGAGCTTCACACAACTGTGATGTTGAAATTAAGTGATGTGTGAAGTGTGTCTTATGGAAATTGTTTGGTGAACAATTTGTGAATGCTAGTCATAGTATTGTTGGAGGAATGTAATCATGTATTTTATTGATATGTGATATTGGATAATTCTTTTTATTTACAGTATTATTTTTCATTTCATAGAAACTACATCACATGTCATTCTAATGTCTTTCCTGCACTTATTAGTTACATAGAAAGCTTACAAATTTCAGGTTTTTAGTGTAGTGTTTCAACAGGTTTATAGATGGTGCTAGTGCTTTCCTGTTAGAATTAATTTGTACTGAACAATTGTAGCCTGCACAAAGTAGTTCATGCTCATTCAGTTAGAATCTAAACACCATATTGATATTAAATTTTTAAATTATTCACTCATTTCGCTTTTCCTATATATTTTTAAAATAAGTATTTATTCAAAAAATACTATTCTTTTAACACCAAAGAAATCCATATTTTCTTAAGACTGTTCTTTCTCGATTATAAGATGTATAATTTGATGTTTGTGGTCTGTCCAATGCTATTTATTTATTTTCTGCATATGTATACCAAATAAATAATTTATAATAACTTGTTTTCTTTTAATCAAGATAAATATCTAATCTTAATCCTTCCAACCTCATTTTCTAATAATGATTTTAATACAAATAGTTAAGTTTATAACACACCAAAAATATTTTCATAAATATTTTTGTCAAAATGTTTTCAAAGAACTTAAAATGTTAAACTTGGTTATTTACCGAGTGCAATGTCACTAATAAAATATAATTTTGTTTGGGGGACAGGTAGTGTATTAAGATAAATATGAAAACAACACAACAATATATAATATTTGAAACAAAATAAAAAAATCAGTTAAGTTTCACATGATTTAATGTACACTAAATTACAGCTTGAACTTAAGAAAATTCATAAGTTTTAACATAATTTGCACTTAAATAAAATTTAGCATTTCACTGATTACTTCTTGGATTTGGGTTTTAAAGTGTAGTATAATATAAGAGCACCAAAGACTGCATATGTAGCTTTGGCGGTCTGCAACAGAACACAATAAGTTAACAAATTATATTGAATACAAGTTGGTCCATGCAACAAGCTACATTTTATAATATCCATGTAAAGATGTAAGTCTTTATTGCATAGGTTAAGTAATATTAAGTAAAAAAATTACGAAAATTATTTTTCATGTTGAATTTGGCAGGATATAGGTAAAAGCGCACAAAACAAATGCAGTTATTGGAATTAAACCAACAAAAATAGATCTTATTATAAATAATATTTTTGATTAATGCTCAATTTATTGTAAATTTAATAATGATGAGATAACTAACCAAAACTACTGTAATCACAACTGATTGCAAATGTTTATAAAGTTAGATTATGCTATTGAGATTTATAAATAGTTCAATACTTACGTTGGCTCTCCCCCTGTTAGTCTGGCTGTTAAAATACTTGGATAATCCCTTTAATTGGGAATCATCGACAGAATCTCCGGCCATTCTATGGAAAAAAAGATTTTATTCAGTACCCAATCGCAATTACTAATCAGATTAAAATGAATAGAACCAAATTTTCCAAGTTTTAATAAGATAAAGTAACATGAATATTACCTGATAATAAATTTTGAGCCTTATGTAATTACAACCTCAATCAATTGTTGAAGAGGGAAAGATATAACTTGTCATTTGACAGAAGAAAAACGTTCCGTTCCTCTAGATTTTTTAATGGATAACGACAAACATAACATTTTTGTACAAATTGTATTTGCAAAATAAACCAGTAAAAACTAAATACAGCATCTTGAAACTTTTTATACTGCACTCTTCGTTTATTTTTTCTTTCCTTTACGAGGTCTCGTTAATTTGTAGTAGACATAGTACATTGCCACAAGCGACATGGTCACTTTGGACACCTATAAAATGAATATGTAAATATGTAATGTTATTCTTACTGTTCAACAAATTTTATGTATGACAGGAATTTAAAATCGTTGAATTATATAAATAAATTCGACTGCCTCTGCTCAATGTCGTGAAATCAAGCACAAGTAGCGATACATTATCGATCCTGTCTTTAATTTAACTAATATTATTAAAAAAAACTGCTCTCTATCACATATACATATGCCCAGACTTAACCTAATGGCAAGTTCACACTTGGCAAGTACAGTTGGGCAGTCGCGCAGGCCAGGCATGGATTACATGGACTCACTAGCACCAGTTAGTGTTCACATTGTGCCAGCCCACTTAGTTAGCGCTACTGTCGAATTGTACTAGCTAAGTCTGAACCAGGTCAGGCATAAATAATACACATTTAGCTTCTAGAAAATATTACATCCTGGTTAGGATACTAACATTTGCTCGTCCTCTATCCGTTTGACTGTTGAAATAACGGCTTAATCCTTTTAACTTTGGGTCATCTTCGAGACCAGACATAGCGTTATTTGAATAAATTTATTTCACTTTCAGTTTTGAATTACAATTCTTCTAATTTATACATTTACTTTAAGTTCATTAGCTTTTTCTGGCATTTTCGTTCATTTTTTATTTTGTCATAAATATTGACATAAGCAAATCTATTAAACTTTTTGGTTTTTGAATAAGATCTTTGTAGTTTTTAAGGCTTATGGTTATTAAATTGTTTTTTCGTAACGCTTTTGGTTATTTTTATTGACGTAATTAAGATGTATCTAAGTTCACCAGGCAAGTTAACTTGTCAGTCTTCACAGCAATGGATTAGAAAATACTTTGAACAGAACGCATCTGCGGTTCCTCTAGTGTTGGGGAAGTCCATGGGCTTCAAGTGAAATTCTATTATGCGATCCACTTGCCGTTGCGTCCTTTAACTAAAAAAAAAGCTAGGAGTAAAAGCAACAAAATTGCGTCGAGTTTGTTTTTTTAAATTAGGGCATGCAGGGGGATGAAGGACATTCAGTAATTATAAGCCTCAGCATTATATGCTTTTATTATCAGTTTTCATTTTGACAGTTACATATATTTCCAAGATATTTTACTTAAAATTAATAATATAAACAATTCTTCAATTGCAATACATGTTGCCAATAAGAAAATGAATATTTTAAAATCGGAAACAAAGTTCATTTAGTTCATACTTTCGTTTTTAATTAAGTTTTCGTCAGTTAAAGTTTGTCTTACATGATAGGTCATATTGTAAAGAAATTAAGTACAAAATAAATTTTCAGTATTTTCTAAAAAAAAATTAGCAATAGCTTAATATAAAAATTGTCTAAAAACAATTATTTATGTATGTATGATTCGACTAGTTTTTAATACAACAAAAACATCTAAATATAAATGTATAATATAATCAAGTCATATCAACTTTTAAGTACCATTTGAAGAATAATAATTCAAGTCAAAAAATAGTATTTGAGCGGACAATGTTAATCTCTGACATATAACCTAATACCTTAATATAATGAGTTTTATAATACTCAATAAAAATAAAAATCTACACACATTGATAGATCACAGCTGAGATAGGACCAGGTCACCCTTAGGGAGTTTCCCCTCTCATAAAACCTGTATAAAAATATATTGCTTTCTCTCTTACTTGAAAGAGTGAAAAAGACAACAATATCTTTCCATACAGGTGTTACACAAGTAATCACATCTTTAGTCCTTCACAATTCACTTCACAAATTGTCCATAAGTTATATCAAGAGATCTTCTTCCCAATCTTCTTTTTCTCGTTCTGATATTGACACAGAGGGTCGAGAGAGCTGCTTCAATTCGGCTTGCACTCTTGGAGGTACGGGGTTATCACTGAGGTCTACATACTCCAGAGCTCTTGATCTAGCTAATCTGTCTACATCCACTTCTGTAAAAAAAATACAAATTACAGTAAGTTTGGCGAACCAGTGTTACCATTTTATGTTTAAATACCAAACACTACAAAGAAAGTTGCCATCTTTTTTTTCAGATTATGCATTCAAATATCCCATTTACTTAATTATATTTTGCTTATAATAGATAAGCAAAGTTTTTGGTTGTTTATTGATTAGGTAATTTAATCTCTACAATCCTATTACATTAAGTTACCTATAAAATAAATAATCAATTACCAATGATTTGATTGTGGTGTGCCAGTAATGTGTGCAAGCTGGGGCACTGGCAGGCGATCTGAGGCAATGATACAAAGCTGTTGTGCGAGATATCCAGCCGCTCCAGACAAGCTAGTGTGCAGAGCTCGTCCGGTAGCCTTGCCATTTGGTTGTTTGCGAGATTTAAATCTGGAAATAAGTGTTTTGTTTTCAAGGAAACATGTTTTGAAAGGTCAAATATTTGTTAGTTGGATGGAATTCAGTTTACCAATCTATGCTTTTCTTCTTATGAACTATTAGCTACTATACAATTTGTGACTTTTGAGGTTTTTTAGCAATTCCTATAGAGAACTAATAGTAGTTACCTTTAAAACATCTAATGTCTAAATCTAATTAAGGTAATAAACATTAAAATCTAGTGAATATTGATTAATTATTTTAGTAATACCAACCTGTGATTAAACTAAATTTAACAGTGAACTTAGGTGGTATCTTAGTAATAACATTTCCGCTGAGGTCACAACTCTTGAGTTCTGTGTGTCGCATCAAATGGTATACTGCATCAGGCACTTGCATCAGCTGACATTCTGATAAATCTGCAACAATGGATAATGCACAATTTTAATATTTTAAAACAGACGAAAAATGCTATAATAATGTAATCATTGTTGGTACTAATCCGATTAATTGTGGGACTGTAATGAGAGGTTTTATGGGATATTCAGAAATTTTCTTGTATTACCTCAATACATATACTTCATGATTCAATCATGACTACCATGTTAAACACAAAAAAGTGCTTTTTTAATATGTTTGAATCTTAAATTTTATATGAGCATGAGTCAGTATTTTATTTGATAAAGTGTTTTATCAGGAAATGAAGAGGGCATATAAATTAAAATAGACTATGACATCAGTTTAATGTTATGCAATGTTATATACATGTTATGCTCTATTTTAATCTAGCTCACAGCACGGTGTAAGAGCATTTTGGGTCATGTTTATCTAGAATGGATTATAATTATTATGAACAGGCATACCTAGTGTCTCAGTCTCTTGTGCAGTTTCACATCTTAAAATAACACGGGTTACAGCTTGTGCCATTATATCACAAAGATTCCACCGAAAACTACACACCAAAGTTTCCACTCTATTAACTATTATTCTATTTTTACGCAGTAACAGTATCTGTTTCCAAAGCTATTTATAAAGACACAATTTACGAGTTTGAATCTTGAAAATGTATCACAAAAATCTACAAAGCCAACTGTTGCTATAAGTTAGTCGTAAACTTATGATTCAATGTTTTTTTTTTTGAAAACTTATTAATTATTTTTTTTTAAGCACAAAATTTTGCATCAGAGGAATGACATTACACAAATTGACATTGACATTTGACATTGGGTTTACCAAAGTGTTGCCGTTTTTTTAATTTTTCAGTTCTGAAATTCAAACGTTAAAATGTGAAGCTACGCGTGTAAAGTCAGGCTAGGAAATTGAATAACTTCGCTATATGGCGTAAAATATGGAACTTATTTTTGTGTTCTTTCTTTCTTTGTAAATGATGTAATAAAGAATCCAATGAAAGCTCCCCGGGCCAAAATTTATTTTTAGTTATCCATTACCGTTGCATTTTTTTTAACTAACGTAGTCGGAATTGTTTTTGTTTTTTTTTTAAATTAGGGTAATGTTACCCAGTTCGCAATATTTTAAGTTCACAATATATTGTGAGCTAAACTGAGCAAACTAAGGCTTAAAAAATCGTCTAAGTTTCCTTAACATTACTTTTTATCCCGTTATGTTAAGTATTTCGCCCGTATTTAAGTTTTATGTGTGTGGGTTTGTCCGAATGTAACTTTATCACAAAAGTAGTTTATATCATAAGTAGCTTATATCTTATTTCTGCTTAAAACTTGATCATGTTACTTTAAGTAAACATGTTTTAATAGACACATTTTTTGTTTACATTGATCAATATTAACAAGTTCATAAGGAAGTACTTTTACGCGGACAACGGCCTTTACAAAGCGGTTTGCCCATTTACAGCATAAAATCGTAAGGTTAACCCGATTGTATTAGAAGAGTGTACGTATTTGTGTCAACAACAATCATGCCTTATTGTTGACTAAAACTATGTATTACCCCAAAAAACATAGACAGTCATTTAATCTTTTGAAAGATGTCGATAAAGATGTAAATATCGATATCAACAAATAATACGCATGATGCGCACACCACTATTGGTTAGTTATACTTGCAAATACGTCACCTCTCGTGATAAGTGCTATGAAATGTCTTCCGGGGGTTGATTGTAATGTATATGGATTACAATGAGGAAACAACTTTGTGACCATAAAGGCTTTTGAGAAAAGTGTATGTTGGTCACGTACGTTTGTAACGCAATATCATTTGATTACAAATCTGATTTTTTTTTCTTAAATCCTTTTCCGAAAGTAATGATTTCTTCCTCTTCCTTCAGTTTTTTGTATGTCTTTTGGGATATGTTTCGATATATTCAATTAGAATCTATTTTTTCATAAATGTTTACACTGTTGCGTACACGTGGAAAGAATTAGAATAATAATTCGAATTATTCTAACACATCGAAGTCAAAGATATTAAGCGTATTTGCACCGCGCAGTCACAATACATTTGTAGCTGCGCAAAATAATTTCTCTTCCGCAAGTTACGAACTAATATTAGAAATTACGACTTCGTCAGCAGCCAAGTGTTATAAGAAACATTTACGGCTATGAACTTTCAGTAAACAACTCCTAAACTATGGAAGTACAATGTTAAAACACTTACAGAAAGCGCAGATTTTTCCTGAACTTAGTCAAGCGTGCCTTCGAATACCTAGCGTTCAGTTGTTACCTATCTCTTCTAAGGTTGATGAGAGATTTTTAATAAGAGAGAGGCAAACGAGCGGTGGGAACACAGAGGGGGCCAACGACGCCCATCGACATCCGCAATACCAAGGGCATTACAGATGCGTTGCCGGCGTTTGAGGAAATTGTAGGCTCGCTTCTTGAAGAGCTGCCAAAGCATTATCCAAGCAATTCTTTATACTAATTGTTAGATTGAACATGCAATATTTAATCATTACAATTTTTTATTGTCAATTAATTCAATTACTTTTTTAAGTGGATTACGTACAAAAGTGCGAAATGACCTCGCTTAGTTTCACAATTTTGACGCTATGTCTTCGCGTTTGCGAAAGCGAAATGCAACAGAGAACATTCATTATTTTATAAAATTGCGCAAGTAACATAACATATTTCGCCTTATTAAAAAAAAACTGCTTCCATATTGCAATTCTTAGATGTTAAGTTAAAATGTAATCTATTTATTTTTGTTTTAATTAATGTACGCACATTAGTTAAGGTAGGCTCCAAGCCACTTAGTAGGGAGGTATAGAGGGCTAGTGATGAACGCACATGACCACCATGATATCGATGAAACCATGTAGATTAGTGGAACAAGAAGGACGTTACTGATGAATGTGGAGAGGTACACCTGTAGAGGTAGACCTAGAAAGAGATGGATGGATTGCGTGAAAGGTGACAAGAGCAAGAAGCGAGTGATGACTCAGATGACGGATGATAGAGTTATTTGGAGGACGAAAACCCGGTGCGCCGACCATATGGGAATAGGATAAGACAGGGGAGATGATGATGAAACCATGCAGATTATTGGTTAGAGTATAGTTATTTCACTGGTTATAAGTTCGACTACCTATTACTCTGTATATGAAAACTTATTTGACATTTTTAAAAAGCGCCAAAAAAAAATTTCGAAGATTAAATATTATAAAATGTAATGTATCGCAACACACGAAAGCGAAATCTATGCCTCGTAACCGTTACGCATTCGAGCGTGGGTGTGATTACTTAGATTAATAGATTACGTTATGCATAGAAATTAATAAACAATTCAGGTATCACTCACATCCACTTGATATTTAACATCACTGCTCAAATACTACTAGGAATACTCATTACCAATTCATATTTTAAAATAACCTAAATTGCAAACTTCCTTTTAAAAAGCTTTTCACATTCTTCGATCTGTAATCCTTTGTTCGATAATTGCTCATATGAACTATGTATTCAAGTCAGACAACAATGGTCTTTAAGAGTTAACGGCACAAATAAATTATATTTTTCAAAAGTATTGTGTTTTTGTACAATGAGATCGGTAACTCACATCAGTATGACTGAACCCAGCCACCGTTTCGCTTATTGTATACTGGCTTTAAAGCGGAACGCAATTGCAACAGATTGATATATGTTCAGTAAGAATTATATGTATATCTGCAAATTTTTAAATAACTAGAGTGAATAATGCTGTATCCCATAATAAATAATACCTGAAGAGACGAGTCCCGAATCATTTGTGGAAATGATTTATGCAAAAATTGATTACATCGACTTATGATAATAAGATTATTCGAAAGATTACAATCCAATACACAGTTTCTCTGTCTCTTCCTCGTGACATTCTTTACTCAACTTCATATGACTCATTCCAACATTGCACAGATTTTATTGCATAACCTCGAATTTAAACCTGATACATTTTAAGATTTATTAAGACTACTTGAAAACGCTGTTCCAATCCATATAACTGTTTTGTTGCATTGTTTGTATTAGTGTGAGTTTTTTTTTTTTATAAATAATGGTGATAGTTTTGTTATTTTTTACAAATGTGTTGCCAGTGTAAAGACAGGGTCACAATACGTTGCAGTAAGTTAATTCGTTACAAAACATGCGGTCTTAAGTAATAAAATGAGATTATTTTGTACATGTGGAAATTTTATTATCTCATAACCATGTTTTGTATTCATATGTGCAAAATTATTTACTAAGTTAAATGTGTCATGTAACTTTCGACAGTTTGCAAACTCTGAAGGCTAGAGATAATGTTTTGTATAACACAAGTCAAATATCTAGAATATAAATGATTTATTGTATGAATTTTTCCAGGTAAATTACTTACCTTCTTATTTACGTTATAATACAACAAACTATTTTCTTATACAACATATAGTAAAAAAAACAAAACCGACTTCCAAACAAAATACACTAAAAACAAAACAAAATGCACTAAAAACAAAACAAAATATTCTCAAAAAAACAGTACACTAAAAAGTAACGAAATAATTACTTGAAAATAGTAAACCTACCTTATTGTAACTGTTATGTCTATATTGTACAATTACTACTACTTTGATGTCGGTGTCAGCCAAGGTATGCAGTGATATTTCTACGTAAGGGTTTCCACATTTTTACCATAACAATTGACAAATGAAAGTATAGTAACAATTAAGTAATGAATCTACATTGACTGACACCGACTTCAAAGTAATAATAATTGTACAATATAGACATAACAGTTA